TAGAAATTAGAGAACAATTAAAGTTGCCTATACACTACCAGTCAAAAGTTTTTGAACAGTAAGATTTTTAATGTTTTTTAAAGAAGTCTCTTCTGTTCACCAAGCCTTCATTTATTTGATCCAAAGTACAGCAAAAGCAGTAATGTTGTGAAATATTTTTACTATTTAAAATAACTGCTTTCTATTTGAATACATTTTAAAATGTAATTTATAGTGATTTCAAAGCTAAATTTTTTGCATCATTATTCTAGTCACACGATCCGTCAGAAATCATTCTGATATTCTGATTTGCTGCTCAAAAAACATTAATAATAATAATTAAAAAAGGTTTCTTGAGCAGCAGATCAGAATATTAGAATGATTTCTGAAGGATGTGACACTGAAGACTGGAGTAATGATGCTGAAAATTCAGCTTTGATCACAGGAATCATTTTAAAATGTATTCAAATAGAAAGCAGTTATTTTAAATAGTAAAAATATTTCACAACATTACTGCTTTTGCTGTACTTATAAAACATTTCTGTCCCCCTCACTTCTGAAATGATGGCTACGCCCCTGCGTGACGCTTTAACTTGATTACTTTTTGATAAATATTTTATTTAATAGATTCATTACCTTCCCGAAATAAGTTTTGAGATTCGGGTGTGGATTAGTATACGTGCATGTTGGGGAATCTCATAAATATTCATATATGCTCCACCCATTTATATCGAAAATCTCAGAAACCTCAGAACTCGGAACACCGGTGCAGACTTTATGTGCTAGATTTGTGTGTGTGTGTGATGATGGAGTGTGAGGGCATCGCGGGCATTGAGCAGTTTAGCAGCCCGGGGAAGGGCAGAGGACTGCGGGTGAGCAGAGCGTATGAAGTCGGTGAATTGCTCTTCTCGTGTCCCGCTTATTCATACGTACTGTCCGTCAACGAGAGAGGATTCATCTGTGAACAGTGCTTTACACGGTCTGACTTGCCTTATTTATTTATTTAGCCTCTTTATTGTTGTTGGTATTTCTTATAGGCTAATGTGTTACTTTATGCTTATGATTGTTATTTTCTAACAAACTTGGATGTATACGTATGCTACATACCGCTAAAAAAAAAAAAAAAAACGTAAGTACGTTCTCATTTGTTACTAGCATTATTTCATTTATACAGCTTAATTAGAAAATGTATTTATTGTTGCATTTGAACGTTCTGGTAAAGCTGAATGAATGACATGATTTAACAGCATGTGTAGAGGTGCAAACAATTTACATATCTTTGAGAGAGAGAGAGAGAGAGAGAGAGAGAGAGTGAGAGAGTGTGTGTGTGTGTGTGTGTGTGTGTGTAATGTTAGAATTTAACTAATCTTATCTGTCAGTTTTTTTCGCGATTTTAGTTGAAAGATGTCTAAGGCATAGTCTAACGTTTGTTGATATATAAAACAGAAAAGACAGCACGAGAAAATAAACAATTAAGCCCTTCTCTACTTTTTATCTCTCTTTTCTGTCATGGCCAGCAGATAAGCTCCAAAAGGGCACATCTAAAAATACAGCAGAATGTCCTGAAGCAGCTGCCCAAACTCAGGACATTTGCTCTAGCCCTGTGTGGTGACAGCACACTCACTGTGACAGCTGCTGAAGAGAGATTGCAGCTCTAATACCTTGCTCTATCACATTCTGTTCCAGTCTCTCTTAGTTGTAAATGAACCGCAAGTCACTTTGAAAATATAGTGAATTAATGTGTGCCAATGAACCAGTTATATTTTCATGTAGTAATAAACACATGTAGTAATTTTCACATGAAACATGCTTACTGTTACATGAAAATATTGCTTGTTCTTTCAGACACATGTACACAAGTTTTAATGAACATTGGTGGTTGTGTGTGTGTTTTTTTTTTCTCTGTCATGTACAGGAAAAAGGGTCTTGCAAAATGTGGAAAGTGCAAAAAAGCATTCTACTGCAATGTGAACTGTCAGGTAAATCACACACACATACACACACAATCATATACATACTAACAGTGATAAAAATAACAAAGAAACTAATTGCAAGCAAAAAGAACACTGGAAGAAAGACATACATGAATGAAATAAAAGTGTATCTGACAGCTTTGGAAGCTTGTTTTTGACACGGGATAAAAAAATAAAAAGGTAACTGTGACATATAATCCCACGATTCAGACTTATTTTCTCAAAAAGGGTGACTTTATTTATTTCTCACAGTTCTGAGTTTACATCTCACGATTCAGATTTTTTTAGTTTTCTCAGAATTCGAGTTTACATCTCGCAATTCTTACTTCTTTTTTTTTTTCTCCATCGGGGAAATGGCTTCCATAGACAACAGTGTCACATTCAGAAATTGAGGGGGGGAAATAAGCCCTGATAAAAAGTAAAACAAATCTACTTAAATGATTTATTGTCATTTAATAAAGACTGTACTTCACAATTTTTGATAAAATTCTATCATGTTTTAAAAATGTCTGTGAAACAATGGGCCAGAGCACATGTGGAAAAATTGGGAAATGCATGTACTGTGCTGATAATGAAATTCACATCACAAGGCTTTTGTTAAAACTATAGATCAGGGGCGTAGAGTTATCTGACTTCTAAGCCAATTAAAAGCTAGAAATTAGAGAACAGTTAAAGTTGCCTATAGCTACACTACCAGTCAAAAGTTTTTGAACAGTAAAAAATATTTCACAACATTACTGCTTTTGCTGTACTTTGGATATATATAACATTTCTGTCCCCCTCACTTCTGAAATGATGGCTACGCCCCTGCTATAGATCGAACTTCCACATTTTTGTATTCCCGCACAGTTGGCTCAACAGAGGGATGGTGCCAAAATCAAAAGTTAATTATGAGTGTCAAAAGTTTTTTGGCAAAAGAGAAGGTCACATTCTTTCTATGTTTTCTCTAGTCATGTACATATGCAATTTCAGAATTTTTTTTCAACTTTCTACTGTGTTGAAAGCCAAGTACACCATGTCAGCAGTGAATTACCCTTGTAAGTGGCTGTTGGTTCATGAAGTTCAGAAACATCAATGACTCCTCATGCATGACAGCAAGTCATTGATATGTTTTTCCCCATAATTTTTTAGGCTCCATCTGCAAAGCACATTAGGATTTAAATATAGCATCTCAACTCCCTCTGAATTGTATGTGTACAGTTGTCTACAACAATCACATCACAACTTCGTACCAAACTGGTTGTCCACACAAACCAATTTAATTAGTTTATCCATATTATTCATCAGGGATGGGTGACATATGGCTAAATTTTTACATCTCAATATTTTCCAAAATGTTGACAATATTTTTACATTTGCTCTTGATTTATTTATTTATTTTTTAAATAAAAATAGGATGTAAATTGTAGATGTAAATTTAGATTTAAATACAAAAAGTTCTTTGAAGAACAAATAAAAAGAAAAAGTGGCAGGGGCATTTTATACTCCAAGAGTGTAAAACTGTGTATGACATGACTGAATGCACAGATCGATCCTGACTAGGGATGTAACGATTCACTCAACTCACGATGCGATACGATTCACGATATGATTTTCTCACGATTTTTTAAAACTTGATTTATTGGGGATTGAGCTAACGTCTGCAGGACAGTGGCCCCCAGGACTGGAGTTGCCCATCCCTGTTCTATACTATAAAGCATTGTATTCCACAAAATCTACAGTTATCTTAAAATCAGTAACCAGTCTTTCCTGATAATAATGGGTGTCTTTTAATGATTTTCATATTCTGCAATTTCACAAGACATAACATAAGCATCTTATCTCTGTGTGTCATTATACCTTATAAACATTCATGCTGTGTATAGTGTATATGCATTAATGAGTGTTTCATGTGTCATTTTTTTGTGTATTTGACAGAAAAAGAACTGGCCCATGCACAAGCTGGAGTGTCATGCTATGTGTGTGTATGGAGAGAACTGGTGCCCCTCAGAGACGGTGCGACTGGTGGCCAGAATCATCGCCAGGCTGGTCAGATACAAACACCATTTTATTACTCTCTTTGTTGAGACAGAATCAATGAGTGTTTGACACGTATTTACTGATGCAGAGACACCAGAGAGAGAGAAGCCCGTCAGAAAAACTGCTCTTACTGAGGGATATGGAAGGCCGTAAGTACCAGAAATCGTTTAACGCATCTGACAGAGAGGGCATGCTGTGTTTTGTATTTTTAAATGTATTTTGTCAAATGGGTTTTCACATATCAAGACTTTTTATCTAGAAGTGCCCTTTTGTGATGCTATTGTGCAATGCTTTTAATTTTATTATTTTTATTTTGATCATATTTAAGCTCATAAAAAGTCGTTTAAATGGTATAACACATGTCTTAACTACCACTCTTTAGGTCTTAAATTTGGGGATGGTAAACAGGAATCACGAAACGGGGTGTTGGTGGCCTAATCTGAATCCTAAATTTCAAAAGGCTATTATTTAATTAAATAAATGTAAGCTACAAGTTCAAAGTAAAAATGGGGCACTGTTGCGCATTCTACAGGCTTGTGGTTTCAAAGCAGTTTGCAGTCAATGAGTACCGTGTATTTATGACAAGTGTTTGCTTATGATCTATTGTTGATTAATTATGACAATGTTCACTTTATTGTTAATGGATCCAAGTGCAGGCTTTATTCCAAAGAGTGGTCAAAACAGGCAGGGTCAAACAACAGCAAACAGGTATAATCCAGGAGGCGACAAAAGAGTAATCCAATAAACAGGCGAAGATCAGGGCAGGCAGCAAACATTCAGAAATCAGAAACAGTCCAGGGTCAAAAACAAGGCAAGGCAACAAGGAAAACATGGGGAACTTGGGAATGCTACAGGCTAGACAATACTGAGCAATGAATGAGTGAAAAAACAGGCTTTAAATTGGGTGAGACTGATGGAGGTAACAAGACACAGGTGAGTTTGTATTGTAATATGTTGTAGATTTTGTTGTAGGTTGTAAGAGTTAATTTTATGTACTTCATCTTTTTTTAAATGTACAGCTGCCAACTCTAGTAGCTTTTCACATTATATCAGCAAAAAAATAATAATAATAGGCAGGGTCAAACAACAGCAAACAGGTATAATCCAGGAGGCGACAAAAGAGTAATCCAATAAACAGGCGAAGATCAGGGCAGGCAGCAAACATTCAGAAATCAGAAACAGTCCAGGGTCAAAAACAAGGCAAGGCAACAAGGAAAACATGGGGAACTTGGGAATGCTACAGGCTAGACAATACTGAGCAATGAATGAGTGAAAAAACAGGCTTTAAATTGGGTGAGACTGATGGAGGTAACAAGACACAGGTGAGTGCAATAAGTGATGATGAGTCCGGCAAAGGATTATGGGAAATGTAGTCTGTGAGAGTGTGCCAAGAGTCGGGGTGGAGTGCCCTCTGGTGGAGCTCATGGGCACTCCAGCTGGTGATAGTGACAAAATGAAATGAAATAAAGTAAATAAAATAAAATATGGACAACTTATTATTTTAGCTAGTTTCCAAGGCAAAATTTCTCATTTTTATTTAGTTTAACATAAATGTAGTAAAATAAGTAAAACTAAAACTATATGTTTAAAGAGGGGTGTTATCAGTTATTATTTATTATTTTATATTATATCAGGTTGTAGTTCCTTTAAGTACAAAGTCTAATTATTTGGTTATCTTTCAATTTTAGGGCTCAGGGATTTTTGGTTATTTCTTTTTGTTTTAAATTTGAGCCTGTTTCCTCTGTATTACACAGTATTTGGAAATGAGTTCTGAGTTCTTTTTTTTTCAGTTTTCAATTTGTCCATTTTCTGCAATTCTTTGTGATTCATATTTTTATAGGTTTTTCCAATAATCCAAAAATGTTATGAATTTCAGTAGCCTTTGGGCGTATTGTGCTTTTTTAAACCATCTAATCTAATTCCCAGTGGTTACATTTTTTTTTCTCTTGTTTGAATATCATTATCACTTGGAAATACATCACAGTTGCTAATGTAATTTTATGTTAACTTTAAGCATGTAAAGCTGTTACTGTATATAATGGTTATTATGTCTTCATTTTCTCACAGACATGGAGAATATGGATAATGAGAAAAGAGATGAATGAAGCACATATAGCAATTTTATGTTAACTGTAAGCATGTAAAGCTGTTACTGTATATAATGTTATTATGTCTTCATTTTCTCGCAGACATGGAGGATATGGATAATGAGAAAAGAGAGATGAATGAAGCACATATAGCCGGTCTCCATCACTTCTACTCCAAACACCTGGATTTCCCTGATCATCAGGCCCTGCTCACACTTTTATCACAGGTAAACACAGAAGTTTTGACAGCTGACCCTTTGCAATGCCCTTCCTTACTGCTTTACTGATCAACTCTTTTTTTGTAAATAAAATGGCATCAGTTCACGCGTGATTTTGCTACCGAGCATATGTCATCATGCAACAGAAAGCAGGACATTTGCAGAGGCTGTGGATTACAGATAATGATGTTGTAAATAAGTTTCAGGGTTTGGCACAGACCGGTCTTTTTGTTTCTTAAGACTTCAGTATATTATCAGGGGCTGTGTGTATATTGCCAATTTTCAATTTTAAAACTTTTAAAAGTTTGAAAACCTCTGATTTAGGGGAGACATGGAGTACAATTCAGTTTATTATTGTAAATAGTGTTATTGTGTAGATAATTATTGATTACAGAGTTGTTGTAGTTGTTTTAATAACTCTTAAAAAGAAGTATAGGGTGAGTTTTTCCCTATCAGATCTTTGTAAGTTTTTTTTTTTTAAACCCCTAATGTGTTTGCATTCAACGACATCAAATGTGATGTTTGTTTTGACCATTTTTTTTTTTTTTATAATATTTTAATAAAAATACTTTTAAATAGTAAAACACAATTTGATGAATAATGATGCCTAAATGGTCCTTGTAGATGAAATATATCCTTACTCAGTACGGATATGAGATGTGGCCCAAAACAACAAATAATAAAAATGCTTTTTAGAATATTACACATCATTCTACCTATTCCCCCATAAAGTGTCAATGATCTATTCTGTTATTGGCACTTTATGAACGTATTGTAGTGACAATCAGACTAAATTAATTCCTTGGAGCATTTTGCTAAATATGTCTAAGCGAGCAACAGTAACCAAAGGGGTCTCCGCAAAGGGTCAGTTAATCACTTAATTGTCCAATTAAAGTAAACAATTGTTTAGAGCAATGATACATGATGTGTTGTGTCTACTTTACACAGGTTCACTGTAACGGCTTTACTGTGGAGGATGAGGAACTCTCGAGCTTGGGTTTAGCTATTTTTCCAGAGTAAGCACAAGAAAACATACACGATATCTATAACAAGGTGCTCCTCTCACAAGGCTTCATGCTGTCTTTGTGTTTAAGTGTTTTAAATTATGAGACTGTTGGATGATGAATAATCATATATGCTGCTGTAATAGGGTTAGATTAGATGGTCCAAGTCTATTTCCAGCCTCTCTTGGACATTGTTTGTGAGCAGTTCTGAATGCTAATAAAACAGTGTCCTGCTATTTACATCAGTGACTGTCGTTCACTTTGAATGGATTGTGTTCAAAAATGAGCTTTGCTAGATATTTTATTAGCAACTGATACTAATGTCACAAAATTTTGGCCAGTAATGATGTGATAAAATAACTACTATGCTTAAAACAAAACAAAACAATTTTGCTGCTTTAATATTTTTTTGGGAAATTGTGAAACTTTTTTTTTTCTTCAGGATTCTTTGATGAATAAAAAGTTAAAAAGAACAGCATTTATTAAAAATAGAAATATGTTCTAACAATATAAGTCTTTATGAACACTTTTTATCAATTTAACACATCTTTGCTGAATAAAAGCATTAATTTCTCTTTAAAAATAAATAAATAAATAAAATAAAATGTACTGACCCCAAACTTTTGAACGGTAGTGTATATTGTTACAAAAGATTTATATTTTGAATAAATGCTGTTCTTTTTAACTTTTTTATTGATCAAAGAATCCTAAAAAAAAGTATGACAAGTTCTACCAGAAAGACTCGGGAGGTGATAAGATTCAAAGTAATTTATTTTACAAAACCAAGACATAAAAAACAGAATTCTTTGGCGTAGACCCCATCTGTAGCTTTAATCTTGAAGATTCAGCTATTACTGCCGAGACAAACGCATGGACAGGGCCAACCTGGTGGTGGTGGGGAGGATGGAGGGGAATGTCAATGTCAGTTTCTGCAAACACAAGGAAGGGTGAGTAAAGAGCATATATATTTCTCGTGTCGAGTGACGATTGGCTAGATCTAATTTTAATACGTGACGTAGCATTAAGTCTTCCTAGTAGAACTTGCGCTAAAGCTTCCATTTCCAAAATAAAATATTAAGCAGCAAAACGGTTTCCAATGTTGGTAACAAATCAGCATATTAGAATGATTTCCGAAGGATTATGTGACACTGAAGACTGGAGTAATGATGCTGAAAATTATCTCAGGAATAAATTATATTTTAAATTATATTAAAATAGAAAACAATTATTTTTAAATTGCAATAATATTTCACAATATTACTGTTTTTTCCCCTGTATTTCTGATCAAATAAATGCAGCCATGATGAGCAGAAGAGACTTCTTTAAAAAACATTACAAATCTTACTGATCCCAAACTTTTGAACGGCAGTGTATTTTTAAAAAAGCACTCCTTATTAGTCACTAATTAAATTATTATTGATGTTATTATCAGTGAAATAGTTAATGAATTGATTACTTAAAACACAGATACTCACAGATACTCATATGTATTTTATTTTGTTTCAGAAATGAATTGATCTTGAAAATGGTCGCATAACTGTGCAGTATTGCATTTAAATGCAGTATTACATGAGCCCTGAAGCATCTACAGCATAAAGTAGTTGAATTAACCATAGGTCTTCAACCCTGCTCCTGGGGACCAACTGTCCTGCAAAGGTTCTGTCCAACCTGCTTCAGCACACCAGGGGTCTCATTTATAAAACTCTCCGTAGATTTCATCCTAAAATTGTACGTAGGCACAAAAGCTAGATTTTGCGTACGCTCAAAAGTTTTCAGATTTATAGAACCATGCGTACGCCAGAACCTGGCAAAAATCCCTTTATAAATCCCAGTCAGAGGAAAATTGTGCGTACATGCATCTCCACCCCGACTCCACCCTGAAATCACCATATATGGAGCTTACAACGCCTAGTTTTACTATGCATAACCTCATCTGCATATCATTTCTATGCATATTCCCATCCATGTGACACCATGTTTAACACCGTCAAAGGTACAAGACATTAAGGAAATATGAGATACGGACTATAAATGCCATTTGTGCCATACACATTAATTTTTATTGCTAAAATCATCCGGTATCCTTGTTATGTTTTAGAATAAATATATCAAAATATCCATAAAAAACTGTTTAAAATAGTTGATCTCATTCATTTCCACTGGCCCAATAATAGTTCAATTGTTTTTAAAAATGCAAATTAAATTAAATTAATGCAGTTTTGCTGATAAGGTGAACATCTTTTAGCTATTTTTTGTGAAAAAATATAGGCCTATATTTATTGCAGTGTAAATACAATTATCTAACTCTGCGCGTTATTGACAAATTATTGAAAAAAAAGGAAACGTGCAAATCTTACGGTTTTCTTCAAGTTGTATCCTTCAAATACACTTCCGTGCAGCTGTGGTTGTACAGTAAGCTATTATCATTGGTCCTATTCAAACCGGACAATAGACCATTCCACTGAATTCAGCAGTGTCCACCACAATTTCCAAGTAAATGCACATCATTGATCATTTTTCTCGTTAAAAATATGTTCTCATAACATGAGATGTGCAGTTTACTTTAAAGATAAATTATTGTGCA